TTGAGTGTTCTTTTCTTTGTTCTAGAATTGTGCAAACATCTTACCTTGTGAGGTTTTCTTGTAAGTTTGCAAATTTGTAATCTTCTCTTTGAGAAAAGAGTGTTCTCAAGAGTTGGGGTATACTCTTGAGGGAATTGTAAGGTTATCTCTTTGGCCTCAAAAGAAAGAACAAATTAGTGAATTTGTTGGAAAATCCTTAGTGTTGATAGCTAAGGTAGTGGACGTAGACTTTGTTTGAGAAAGTCGAACCACTGTAAATCGCTGTGCAATTACTTTCAATTTTCTGCAAAAGCTTCCACAAAATTTTTATTGCCAATTCACCCCCTCTTGGCCAATTTTGTCATTCGATTAACTCAACAATATTCGATTTAATTACTCGAATATCAAGCTATTACTCAAAGTCTTTCAAGATCAATTTTAAACCTTACTAAATGTGTAAATTTGTGTTTTATACTTAAACTATTTTTAAACAAATTTTCACAAAGTATTTTGAACCAAAATCAAGCCTAAAATCAATTTTTCAAGGGCATGCATCGATGCATCAATTAATTTATTGAACATCAAATGCATTTTATGCATCGATGCACATACCATGCATCGTTGCACTCAGTGCATTTGATGCACCGATGCACTCAGTGCATTTGATGCACCGATGCACTAAGGGTCCAACGGTCAAAATATTTGAATTTTACACTAATGCACCGATGCACCATGGGTATGCATCGATGCACTGACGCTCCCAACTGATTTTATTAATTGTTTTCACACTTAAATGACTATATTGACTCCACTAAGCATCCCCAACGTTCAGAATCATTTGAAGGTATATTTAAACAAGCTTAGAAGCCATTGATCAAGAACAAGAAATATCAAGCAACTAGAATCAAGAGAGAATCAAAGAGAAAGCATCAAACCTCAAGTTTGAGCATTTCAAACCTATTTTTCATTCAATATTCATTTTGCTTTCAAGAACACTTATTGTGCTCAATTATATTTATTATTGAGTGTTCTTTCTTTATTCTAGAATTGTGCAAACATCTTACCTTGTGAGGTTTTCTTGTAAGTTTGCGAAATTTGTAATATTCTCTTTGAGAAAGAGTGTTCTCAAGAATTGAGGTATAATTTTTGAGGGAGTTGTAAGGTTATCTCTTTGGCCTCAAAAGAAAGAACAAATTAGTGAATTTGTTAGAAAATCCTTAGTGTGGATAGCTAAGGTAGTGGACGTAGACTTTGTTGAGAAAGTCGAACCACTATAAATCGCTGTGCAATTACTTTCAATTTTCTGCAAAAGCTTCTACCAAAATTTTAATTGCCAATTCACCCCCCTCTTGGCCTATTCCATCGATCGATTAACTCAACATACCTCTAAACCTTATTTTTGATCAATGAGTAATCAGGTATCTTCTAATTCAACAGGGATATCACGATGATTTTTTCTTGTTGATGATAATCTATTTAATATAAAAGCATATTTCGTTCTATAGTTAAAAAATATTTATAAATAAATTCAGTATTGAAATTACCTTAATAAAAACGGGAATACAAATGACTCATTCACGATTAGACATAAAAAAGACATATGATACGACGCCCACGATAAGAGAAAAAGGAGACATCCACCAATAGTAGTTTTACTATAAGGGTAAATTATATCGTTCATCGCCGAACTATACTCTCTCTCATTTTTTTATCACCCAACTTTCAATTTTTTATTTTGCTCACTAATCTTTACAAATTGAATCAGTTTGCTCACTCCCTTGTTTTCTCTCTAACGGTTGATGATGTGATCTTTTTTTATTATTTATAATATATAATAATTGAGAAAATAACATAGAACTAGTGGTCGGATGCCACCACTGGCCATTTTCGACCATCGTAAATGGTGGTCGTTCGATCCCAAATTTTATGGGTCGTTTCACCTCGACATCGAGATTAAAAGTGAGGGAACTCAAACATTTCAGTCGAGATTTACGGGTTTTGGGAATTTTTTTGGTAAAATAACCACCATATTCGAACTTAGAGGGTCGAGATGAATAGACCCATGAAATTTGAGATCGAATGACCACCATCAATGACGGTGGATGGTAGCCTGAAATGAAAATGGCATGGTGGCCAGTGAAGAGAAAATGGAGACGAAAAGGAAAATCGGTAAATTACACAATTCCTCACTGAATTTTACCCTCTTTCTTATTTTACTCACCGAACTTTCAATATATAATTCAAAGCAAGGTCGTTTAGGTGTATATTTGAGTTTTTCAAAACGACGTAATTTTGATGTTTGTGCCACGTAATAACGTCATTAAATAGTTAACGACAGAGTGAGCAAAATGACTCAATCTGTAAAGTTCAATGAGCAAAATAGAAAAATTGAAAGTTGGGTGAGGAAAATATGAGAAAAAAGTACAGTTTAGTGAGGAATAGTGTAATCTACCCTTACTATAATTTGTTGACCAACACATTTCTCTAACAGAAATCCCAAAATTGTGGACCCCTAACTCAACGTGTCGGCTACTTCAAAATCAATGAGGTGACACAACCACATACAATGAACTTGGTTACAAGATTTGTCGGGTATCAAGATGCTTCCTATGATTTGTAATATATATGTCTGAGTAAATAATTTTGCTTCATCCCCAAAATAATTTTCGTTCAATTCTTGAAAAGTGGATTGCAACCATGTTAACGTTATTCGGCCACCATTGAACTTTATCGGGGAAACTCTAAGATACTTCATGCACAAAGAACACCAATCACCATTAGCCACACCAAAAAATAACAGTTCCATCTACCAGAAGCCCCAATGCATTGAAACATCCTCCAGTGTAATGGTGCACTCCCTATATGAAAGATGAAATATGTGTCTCTATGGTCTCCACCTCTCGATTAATGTAGAAATGAGGGTGGTTTCAAGTTTACAGCCTCCAACAATTTTGGCTATGTAACCAAATTTGGCCTCGGATAAATACCTCTAGATACAACGCAATGTGTTCATCTTATTGTTACGAATAAACACTTCTAGTATACAATCATTTTCCTAATTAATAAATATTCTACAAATTAAAATTTGAAATAATTAAAAATTTATTGAAGTAAATAAATTAATAAAATTTTAAAATAATATAATTTAATATTTTTATCATATCGAAAAAATAACTCAAAATATGATTTGCATCTGACTGCAGCATCTCACATTCCATTTTATAACTACAAAAACTAAAAAAAATTAGTAATTACAATTAATTAATAAAATAATAAAATATTTTAAAAAATACATATTAAAGGAATACAAACAAATTTATACCTTTAAAAATATTTCCTGATAACCAACCAACTTAAAAGAAACTATAAAGAGACATATGAGATATTAGGGAGGATGATATAATTTTTTGGTGTGATTACCTTAAAGATGGAGAGTGCTTTACATAGGTGAGGGGGAGAGGGTTTAGGCGGATAATATGGGCGAGAATTAGCGACAATAGGAATGAGGGATGAAAGACGTGCCTCTCAACTAGTGCGAAAATCTCGTGAAGGCGCAATTCTTACAACGTGCCTTCCTATATGTGCGTGCCAAATTAGCCTAAAGAATTTGTCCTGAAACGCATCTTCGTGCCAAATCACACAACGCGCCATCCCATTCCTTATTTTGTCATAAAGTGCGCTAGTTTGGCACATAATAAAAAAAAGTGTCAAATTGTTGTTTTTTATTTTATTTTATTTTTTTGAGTGATTTTTGAACAAAATTGCCCGATCCTTTCCCACCTTAGCTTGCATCCGTATCGCCCTTGTTTGGGTTGGTAGGTGACCTTTTTGGCATCGGTGTACAACACTGAAGCTAAATTTGTCATTTTTGATACATTTGATAATTCTACTTTAATAATTTTGTTAATATAAACCTGATTCAATTTAATTTCATCCTACAATTATAATAAATTTTAAGATATATGAAGTATTTAAATTCTTGAAAAGTTAATTAAAATTTTAGTTTTGCATTTGATTGAACTTTTAAATTAATAAATTAAATCAATTAAGTCATCCGATCAAAATAAATTTTAGTTACCTATTGCAACAAAATAATACTTTAAGTACTTATTTTGACAAAAAAATAATTTTAGATCCTTATTGTTACAAAAAAATTATTTTTGGTACTTAAATGAAAAAGTTTATATACTTTAGGTACTTACTTGTGAGATAAGCCTATTTTAAACCTAAAATAAGAGTTAATTGCAAAAGCATCCTCAAATTATGACTCTTATTCTATACCAATCCCTAAACTTTTAAATAATTCAATTTCATCCCTAAACTATGACTATTTTTTCTAAATTAATCCTCAAACTTTTGAAGATTTCATTTTCATCCTCAAACTATGATCTTAATTCTAAATCGGCCCCAAACTTTTTAAAGCATCCTTTGTTAATAAAATCGTTAGACCCAATTATATTTTTATATTTTTGAAAAAAAAATTGAAGTTAAATTATGCTTGGAACTAATTACATATTTAGATAAATGTGGGGATGAAATTGGAATATTCAAAAGTTTGGGTACCAATCTAGAATGAGGGTCATAGTTTGGCGATTACATTGGAACATTTAAAAGTTTAAGGACTAATTTAAAACAAAAGTCATAGTTTGAGGATGAAATTGGAATATTCAAAAGTTTAAGAACTAATTTAAAATGAGAATCATAGTTTGAGAACATATAATGCAATTAACTCCTAAAATAATCTTAATATAAATACTCCCTCCATCTCATAATTTGTGTATCATATTGATTATACACATAGTTTTAGGAGATAAATTTGACAAATTTATTTTGATATGTGTACAAAAGTGGGACATATAAGGACAAAAAATGTAAGTATTGTTGTTTGTTGACTTTTCTAATAAAATATTTTAGATGGGATAAATTTAAAATCTAAAAGAGACTTATTTAATAGGACCTAGGGAATGTTCTAAAACGACTTTAACATGATGTGTGGAGTTAATTTAAACAAATAATTAATTTTACGGTATTACTAATCGCAGTACACGGACGGTAATAGAGTTTACAATTGGAGTTAGACGTGTGGTGGTTCTTCTATTCCACAACTTTGCTTTTCTTGTTTCTTCAACTACGACTCCATTGTCATTAACCTTTTCTTTTCTCCCTCCCTTTTCCTCGTACAAAGGATTGGTGACGATGCCAGGTGCTGCATCACAAGCCCAATCGAAATCCGACAACGAGCCACGTGTGCTCGAGAATTGCTTCATCATCCCAAGTGAAAGAACCCTCGTAGCTTCTGCAATCTTCGCCTGGGAATCGGAAACACTAGCTTTATCACCACGCTTTGTCTCTTTAATTAATGCCCCTTTATTCTCCACTTCTTCTGCAACTATTGCTTGCGGTGGAGGCGAGGCAGAGGCCACCTTAGATTTGGTAGCACCTTGTTTTTTCTTTTTCTTTTTGCTTTTGATTTGTCCCATGCACGAAACTTTTGGCAACGCTGGCTCACGTGCATCGAAGCTTCCATTCTTGGACTTCCTCGGAGCGTCCTTCGGAATCAAGGATACGACGATGGTAGAACTGGAGGACGAAGATGCTTTACCCACGGGGCTTATTGGTGGGCTTACCTGGGAACTTAGTACAGATGACAATGCTGCTTTTGGCAGAAAGGCCGACGGGATCTTCTTGTGTTTCGTTACCAGTTTCTCCATCTCGGGTCAGACGCTCAAAACAGGTGGCTTGTTTGATGTAAAAGTGGTAAGAGGATGGGTTCAAAAAGAAGTTTCGTGCCGGCAACTACTTTGCAGATTTGGTAGTAAGAATCATCACGGACGGCCGAAGAGGCTAAGACCATTCGTTACAATCAAAAGCGCATTGACATTTTCTAGATGATGAAACTAGCTTAGCGTGTTGATGTTATGCAAATTACAATAGTATAAAGACTTTTAATTTTATTCATTCAGTTATACCACTACAAACAAAAACTCTTAATGCTATTTTGGTAATGGCCATATTCCCTAGAGATGTGAACAAACGCTATGGTACTAGTTTCACGTTGTTATTGAATCTAGCATGGTACTTGGGCTCAAGTTTAGTGATGTTCTCTTTTAATTATTTATTATTATAATTTCATTTAATTTTAAAATAAATAAATGTTACATGTAATAGACAATGGTTTAACGAATTTTTTTGAACCCTAATCAAACAACATCTCAATTACTTTACATCTAACACATTAATTAACTTTAGTAATTAAAAGCAGTATTGTTCTCTTTAGAATTAGTGGATTCGAACAATTGTGTTTACAGAACGTGTTGTTCATTATTTAAAAGAATTTGTTCATAAATTTAGCAAATTTTATTAATTTTCCTATCAATAAATCAGTTTTGCAATCTTATTAAATCTTTACACATACATATGCGTGTAAGAGAAAAAGACAAATAATTTCCAATTGAATCCATCTTATAAGGAAGAGCTATTCACGAACATGTCATGTTGACCATTTGATAAGGAAGAATACAAAGAGTGGCCAATTCCCAAGCTTATAATCAAGAGAAAATAACCTCAGTGACCAAAAATGCCTTATAATATACGAATTTAACCAACTTTTTTTGGATTTGCCAAAATGACCAACAAATTCGCAACGCGAATTCTAATTTCGCAACCCAGTTTCTAATTTCGCAACGCGAATATGTAAATCGCATTGCGATTTTCCAAATTCGCAACGCGAAAGTCAAATTCGTAACGTGAATTTGTAAATCGCAACACAGAAGTCAAATTCGCAACACGATAGTCAAATTCGCAACGCGAAAGTCAAATGTTTTTACGCGAAACACAATATTAATTTCGCAACACAAATATAAACAATATTATCACAAATCATCTCTAACCTAAAACCCTAAAGCACAACTCAATCACATCTCCATCTCTCACTCTCTACAGTGACATCCATCCCCATCTCCGACAAAATACATCCCCATTTCCAACGAAATCTGTCTATCTCCATCTCTCAGATCAACCCTCACAACCATTCACGGTCAAAAATGGAAAATCAACCACCGAGGGTTAGTTTTTTTAATCTCTTATTTTTATTTTGAAATTTTTGTATTATTATTAGATTAACCATTTCACTGAGATTGTTAAATTCATTCGGTTGCTGCCAATACTGCTAAATTGTTTAGTCTTTAACCCTGTAAAGTTAGTATTTGTCTTTGTTTTGTCTTTTTGTTGAAGAAACCCTAAATTGCAACACCAAATTCACAACACGAAAATGAAAATCACAACGCGAAACTAAAATCGCGTTGCGATTTTCATTTTCGCGTTGCGAATTTAAGTTTAAGAAACTTCTTTTATTCGCCAAATTGAAACTTGAATGAATTGTATTACTTCAACAAAAAAAAAAGAAAAATACTAATTTCACAGTGTTGCTAATTTAAGTTTCAAGAATAAACTACTACTCTTTATATTGTCCTTGAACCTGCACTAAACCTATATGTTATCCTTTTAAATGTTTATATAAGTTCTTACTTCTGGAATGTTATCTGATGCATTTTGTGAACTATGATGGAATAATGACTTGGGTGAATACCGTGCTAGTTTGAAACATATTTGGCTTTGTTTTCACTGTTTAATATCATGTCTGTTTATAGTGTATAATTTGTAGTTTTTGGTATATCTAACTTGGTATGTTTATTGTTTTTGTAGAAATTTTTTTCGGCTGCATTAACCTTAAGGAATAAATTAAGCCTAGCCACTAAAATTGCGTCGACGCTTACACCTCTACAAAGAAAATTGTTTGAGGATACTTGCTTCGGGCCATGGCTGAAAGTGCAACATACGGGTGGAGATGCTATGTTGACACATTTGTTTCTTCAGACCATGACTAACGATCTACCCGAGGGGGTACAACGTGGTGATGAGGAGATATGGTTTCATTTTCCTCCGGCACCGGCGTATACTTATTTTGGGCGGGAGGAGTTTTACTTAATCACCGGTCTACGCTTTGGACACGATGATGTAGGTCAGCACACTAGTCATATCGTCCACCCATCATGGTTATATCGGGTTTTTCCTGAGCTGGCAAAGTCGAAGCCGAGTATACACGTCGACGACTTGAAGAGATTATTTGATAAAGATGGTTTTACTTGGATTGATGACCTTGATGTTGTCCGAGTATGCCATTTATTACTTTTACATGCTGGCTTTTTAAGCAAAGAGGGCAGACAACCAATCTCTGAGGACCTAATATTATTGGTAGAGGACCTAAATGCATGGAACCTGTTTCTGTAGGGTTCATATCTATGGAAAGCTACCTGAAAGAAGTTGTCGTCTGCCTTTGAGGACCGAAGAAGTTTGTGGGGCGATGGTTCTAAATACACTTTGACAGGCTTTACTTGGGCCTTTAAGGTAAGAATTTCTATATTATAATGTTTCCAAAATTATAATTAATTATTTAACAATTACTAATGTTTGTGTATTATATTGTTTGTAGATTATATTGTTTGTATATTTGGATATTTAAGGCTTTCCCCAGCATGCGAACATATGCGATAAAAAGATCAAATGATATTCCTAGGGCTATTACCTGGAAGAGGATCCGCATGTTGGATTGGGAAGAGTTACTCCCATATACGACGATGAATGATGTAAGTTAACACAAAAATAATATCATATAAACAAGTTATTACTAGTACAAGTTTAACTTTGTTTGAGCTTTTATATTGTTAGGTGGCCAACTATCCATTACAGAGGCTGACACCCACAGAGGCTGAGCTTGCCACTGATTGGTGGCAAGCTAGTAAGCGGTTTTTTTTATTGGACGGATGATGAGCACCCCCCACCTCGAGAGCCATTACCTGATCGGGCCGATTCTACAGCTCGACACCCGGAGCCATCACCTGATCGAGCCTTTTCTCCACCTCCACCATCACCTATTCCATCACATCATCGAGCCTCTTCTCCACCATCACCTCATGATAGGCAATCGACAAAGAGGCCATGACATTTATCTCCCTATTCTCCACCTCCACGGGATGAGTTAGAGGAATTACGTGATGAGGTCGGTACTTTGCGTCATGAGGTCGGTACTTTACGTGAAGATAATAGTGCATGACATGATGAGGTTCGATCTTTACATGGTGAGGTGGAGTTTTTACACGATGACAATGGTGCGCTACGCGGTGAGGTATCTACCTTACGTGATGAGGTTGCCGCTCTACGCGAGATTGTTTCATTGTTGCAGAATGAGGTTAATATTCTACGCAATGAGGTAAATTTATTTAATAATATACTAAAAATGCAAATAAATTTTTTTCAGCATTATTTATTTATTTATTTATTTATTTATTTATTTAATGATTTATATATTAATTTATTTTCAGCGGCCCGATAAGGTAGATGCTTTACGTCGGGTTTTTCTTGCACGACGGGGTTCACGCATCAGACGTCGTGCACGTGCCATTACGTCTCCGTTCACTCCACTAGTGCTAAGACTCCGTAAGAATAAGCTCGATGCACCTATCATCATTCAAGAGGCACCTCCTATCGTTCAAGAGGCCACTCTCATCATCAAAGAAGCCCCTCCCACCGTTCAAGAGGCCCATGTCATCGTTCAAGTAGTCCTGTCCACCGTTTAAGAGCCCGATTCATTTGGTATCATATGTCGACATATTGATAAACCCCCTCCCGTGCCCGATATGATGGATGTGTGTTGGCTTTCGTATGAGTTACCGGCCAGTACCATTCCTTAGCAAGAGATAGAAACACTACCAAACATAATTACGGATAATACCCTTTGGGCTAAGACCGCAGTTGATTTTTATCTACATGAGCGGAGCAAGGGGTGTTATTCTGACCTATGCCAAATCGACGATGCTATTCATTTGTTTCTTGATCGGTCTTGGTGGGGTATTTTATTAGGGGTTGAAGATAATGGCTACCTCGAAGGGGGGGTAAGTATTATATTCTTCTTATATTACATTTTGATTAATTGTTTTTAAATTATTAATAAATTCACTAATATATTTATTTTTTTATAAAACATCATATTGATGCATGGGTGTCACGTCTTCTAATAATAAGGAAATTGAAGAAAAGAGGTACTCGATGGACTATTATGCCAACGTCTTTTCACGCAGCTCACTTGAAGGATCAGAGAGATGCTTCATATAAGTTGGCTAATGGAAAAGCTAAACTTTATCTTGCGTGGTGGGAGGTCGATAAGGTTAGTATTTATTTTTTGAATATTTTAAAGGTTTTCATAAATTTTATTTGATGTGAACAATTATTTATGATTGCAGGTGTTTATCCCTATTTTGGAACATTGTCATTGGCTTCTCGTCGAGCTTCAGCTCCCATCCCTGAAGACAATGGTATATGACAGCATGTTGAATTGCATACCATTGTCTGATTTGAGAGATATTATTACAAAGATATGGAGCGATCATTTGGCTAAATACTTGAATGCGATTGATTATTGGACAAATTCTGGAAACAAGAAGCCAAAGAAGTTCAAAATTACAATGATCAGAGACGAGACTGCGCCACAACAAACGCAGGGAGTCAGAGGGGATTGTGGTCCTCTTGTATGCTTGTGCTTGGAACGTTTGACGACAGGAAGTATACAGTATCTACCTCCCACAGATAGAGATAGAGCTGCAGTAGGCTTGTGGTTTTGGCATTATATGGCCAGATCGATATATATGACACGCTGCCTAC